CCCCCGGCCCCCTCGCCCCTGGGCTGGGACGGCTGAGGCGAGGGGGGGGGCGGCGACATGGCGGAGGCCAAGGAGGAGGGGCCTGGACCCCGCAGGGTGAGTGGGGGGCGCGGGGGGAAGCGGGAGGGATGCGGCGGGCGAGGCGCGGCCCTGCCGGGGGTCGCGGGGGTACCGAGCGTGTCCATCCCCACCCCGGAGCCCCGCGGCGCTGCCCCCCTCCGGCCACGCGGTTCTCCCCCCCCCTCCCTGCGCGGGCAGCATCTCCGTGAGCGCCTTGGCATCTCCTGGAGAATAAACTTAAAGCCAGCCGGGAGCCGTCGCCGCCGGCCGCCTCCTCGTCTGAAGCGGGGCGTCCTTGCTGCTCTTTATTTCAGCTGCACATGCGGGGCACGGGGAGGCAAAGATGGCAACGCCATCCGGCGCCTGGGGGGGCTCAGGCTGGAGCCCTTGGGTGCCTTCCGTGAGCCGTGGCCATCCCAGCTCTTGGCTGCACCCCTTGTGCCAGTACCTTCAGCCCTGCACATCCCAGGGCTTGGTCCAGCGTTGTCCCCTCTTGGTGTCTAAGCACGCTGTACTCATCTACTCAGAACCGTTAATTTTGGAAAACACCCCCAAAATTATTAAGTTCAACCTTGCTCGAAGAAACGCTTCATCATTTAAACCCCTGCAAGGTTCTCTGTGGCCAACACCTTGTAGCTGTCAAGGAGCTGAGGGAGATTAACTTTTTTAAGCAGTGCTGAAAATAATCTTGCAGTGAATCCAGGCCTCTTTCCTGCACAAATGTAGCTTTGGTTGAAAACTTTCTGCTAGGAGTGAGGTTAAGTCTTGTGTGGAAGAGTCCACAGTTCACTCCAAGACTCTGAGCTGTCCAGTTCCCTTTTCCCAAGGATGAAGAAGTTGTCCCATTCTCCAGCCTTGAGAAAGGCAGGAGCAGAGGCTCAAGTTTTCCACTGCTGTTGTGTGAGAGAAGGTTAATTTGCTGAATTTGTTTCAGGGAACTTGCAGCTTGTGATTACAGTGAAACAAATTGTTGGTGAACAGAACACTTGACCTCGCAGGGTCTCACTGGGTGAGTTTTGTAGACATTTGACTGCTCTGCAGTTATGGCAATGAACATCCTCAGTGAAGTGTCTCAGACCTGTGTCTTTCAAGCACTTATTTACGAGCAAACTCCAGGAATTGTGTGGAGTTGCTCACAGGCATTCCATAAACATGCAGGTCTTTGGGGGATCGAATTTTGGCTGGCTGAAAGAAGCTTAGAGGGAAGTGGCTGCAAGTAGGACAGTAACTTAAGAAATCTTGAATTAAGCTTCATTCCCAGTAACTGAAGTGTCAGTGGACATAAGGAAACACTTTCACCCCATGGGAACAGTCAGGTGTTGGAGCAGGTTGCTCAGAGCTCTGTGCTGGTGTCTCGTGGTCTCTTCATGCCTGTTGCCTTGACAAGCTCTGGTTGTCTGTTGAGTTACTTGGTGTCACGAGCAAAAAAAGAGAAAGTTGCCTTTTTATTTCTCAGGCTTGTCGGTTATCTGCTGAGGAATAACAAATTATTGTCAAGTCAGCATCGTCTACACTGGTCTCAGGAACAATCATTTGTCTCTCAGTTGGCTGATTATTCCTTGGGTGCCAGGTCCAGAAGTCTCCATCAGTTACTGCTGCCCATGTCCCTGTAGGTTATGGAGAATCCCTTCTTGATCCCAAGTCTGACACCGAGGTTACGCTTAATGGGGCCAGAAGGGCTCCTGGGAGCTTTTAAAAACAAATATCAGCACCAGGGCGGTGCATTCTGTCTGTTTGGGCTCTTCAGAGTCTTGACAGGTGAATTCCTCGCCTTCCCTCCCATCCCAAAGCCGGTTTTGCTCCGGGATGTTCTTGAGGCACACGGGGAGAGGTGAATCCCCGTGGGCTGCTCCAGGGGCTGATGGAGCAGATTTTTCTGCAGGAGCTCCTGGTGGTGGACTCTTCCAAGTCCTGTGCCAAAGGCACAATGGGCATTTCTTATAAAAGTTACTTTGTATGGAAAAAATAAAGGCTAATTTAACGATTTCTTCAGGGAGGAGCTTAGCAAGTGCTGGTGTTTTCAGAATTGTTCCTTCCTATATTGAAATCTTTTGCAAATATTATTCCAGAAGCACGTGCACAAAAACTGGCATGTTGGAAATCCCATGGATAAGCAGTCACCAGCTCTTTGCTCAGTCCATAATAATGAGCAGCGAGCTAAATAATAAAGTCTTTGCCAGTCTAAGACTAGCATAGGAGTGTGTCTAATTTTAATTTTTCATAGCATCTGAAAAGTTTTTATGGCTAAATTGTTTTAGAGCAGGTTCATTTCTACCCCAAATCAAAACTGTTGTATATTCTAAGGAAAACATTTAACATATTTGACTTGGCAAATTTACTAAATAATATCAACTTGAAAGGTGGCTGCTATTAAGGTTTTTTGTGCAGTTTATAAAAATATTTGTGGCAATTCAGCTTTAATTAGTATATAATATCATTGTCTTAAACAGTTTATATTTTGTCTGGAATGTTCATTTATTTTCAACAATTCTCTATAAAGCCTTGGACTCCACAGGACAATTTGGACTGTACTGCAATTTGACACTTGGGCTCTTGGCCATTAATTTGGTGTGAACAGGTGAACAACCCTAACAGGGCAGTTCTGCCAAAAAGATTTGTTCTCCCAATACATTATTATTGTAATAACCAAAGTTTATTGTGTCAGATTTTTGGTAATAAACCCAAAATGATAATTCTGCATTTGGTCCTTTTCTCTTTTGATAGCGGCTCCGCAGTCCCAGGGCAGGATAAATTGCTGCTGCCAGAATTTCTTAATTTCCATTGGAAAGAGAGGAAACCTGAATCATTAGCCTAATAAACTAATGCTTCGTTGTCTAAATTTAGGTGAGAAGAACCTGAGACACAATTAGCACAACTGCACAGTTATTCCTACAGGAGACATTTTGGAGTACTCCCCTTTTTTAAGTATTTTTTTAAATAACTTATTTGTGTACTTTTGTGAATCTTGATATTTGTTAAAACAGTCCAAAGTAAGTGGAAAGACTTAATTGAGATTCATCTTTAAATGGTGCTGCTTGCTCAGGAAAGCTTTATGAAACACAGTTAATACAGACTGTGGGCAGGGTTTTATTATGTTTAATGGTGGAACAGGTGAAAAGAACATCATCTTCTCCCTGACCATACTTTTGAAAGCTTTGACCAAAAGTGTCTGTGCTCTGGGGAATGCTGTTTTTGCTTGTGGGATGCTAAATCTGTAACTGAACTGAAATCACTGCTTTGGAGTAACTGCCTGCTGGGCATCACAGCAGAAATGAAGATTGTTGTGATATGGAACCTGCTCTGATATTGGTGATTTTTACATCCCTGTAACTTCTCTTTAGTTTTTCCGCCTTATGCTGTGAGAAATAGGAATTATCTTGATTTTGGCACTCTCACACGTTTGGTGTAACCAAAATCTCAGCAGTTGTTTGCAGTGTCTGAACCAGCAGCAGGGAAGCTCAGCACAGAGCTGGGGTGAGGTTTTGAGGGTGTAAAAGTTCTTTGGTTTGATAAGAAAGTCTTTGTTGTGGATGTCTTGCTTTGTTGCTGTGTGGTTTGTGTCTCTGTGTGTTTCTAAACTGGCAATGCCCAAAGATCAGCACATCAGACTGCGGTGTCTTTGCAAAGACCCTTGCAAGGAAATGGGTATTAGTAATTAATATTAGTGAGAAGCGCTTCCCTGGGAGGGTGGGCAGGCCCTGGCACAGGCTGCCCAGAGAGGCTGTGGCTGCCCCATCCCTGGAAGTGTCCTAGGCCAGCTTGGAGCAACCTGGGCTGGTGGAAGGTGTCCCTGTCCATGGCAAAGGGGGTGGAACGAGATGATCCTCAATATCCCTTCCAACCCGAGCCATTCCATGATTCTGTGATTGCAAGGTGAAGCCTTCACATGTGGAGCTGCTTCCTCCTCAGATCCACGATTTTGTGGATGAATGGGAGAAGGGCTTGGATCCCCCTCTGGTTTTTGTAGGTATAGAGTAAACCCACTGATATTTCAGAACAAAATAAGGCTCCCTGTAACTTTCTGAGTGTTTGTCAGACTCACCTGGGCCCCTTGTAGGTTGGTGACTGTGCAGGTTCTGTGTGTGTGTTGGGTGGGAATGGAAACCCCAAAGGTTTGTTTGGAATTGGCCCCTGAATATTCCAAAAAGCTCAGGAATGTCTGACAAACCTGGGGATGGAAAGGGATGAACTTCCATCTGAACTGCTGCCTGTGATTTCTGGTGAATCGTCCATGACTCTTAAAACACACAAATGAAAGGGGAGCAGCAGGTCCCTGAATGTTCTGCCCTGGCACTGAAAATCTGCAGATGTGCAAGTGAGGGAGATGCCAGGTACAACTGTTCCTTAGGGAGCCACGAGCGGCTGGAAAACGCCTGCTTTGCTTTGCCTTTTTACACCTACTGGAGATTGTCTGGGATTTGCCTTTAAAAACACCCATCAGTCTCCACTGAATTGGCCTCAGACTTGATTAAAAATGAGCTTTCCAAGTGTTGGGCAGGGCTCAGGGAAGCCCCCCGACCCCCAGCGTGTCGCTGTGCCCGTTCCCCCATGGTTGGACTGGGGGTCCCGGGGCTGTAGTGGGGGGCTCTGGCGGCTCCATGGCCGTGACCCTGCCAGGTTCTCTTCCTGCCGCATTCCCGCTGTTCCTGTGGCGGTACCTGCGGCAGCCCGGCCCTTTGTTACCCTGTGCAGGTCGGGATGGGTGGGCAGCAGAGCTCTCCGGGGGTGGTGGGGTCCGGGCGGCCCTGCCGGGGATGTGTCGTGTGGGAAAGGTCGGGGGATGCCTTCTGAGCTCACCCCACCTGCCTCGAGAGCAGCAAGTGCAATTTAAAGGACTTCGTAAATTTTTTTTGGTTTGTTGTTTGTTTTTTTTGTTGTTGTTGTTTTAAATGGTGTCTTTCTCATCACTTGAGTGGATCCTGGAGCGGGGGTTACGCTGTGAAGAGAGGGAAGAGGAAACTACAGGCAGACTGAGAATCATCTCTGACTGGTTTTAATTGCAGTTTTCTTAACATCTGCTTCCTTTCCACAGTTCTCTTATGGATGCAGCAAAGCCTGGGATCAGAAGGCTTGCTAGAAAGATGTGTCTGTGTGTGTAAAGCAGTTACGCTGTTTCGTTTATTTTTACAAGAAATTCTCTCTTTTGCATACAAAGCAATAGCGTAGCAGTGGGCAGCTGCTCTCTTTATACTGCACAGAAATAATCTATTATTTGTTTGATCTGTGGATGCCATGGCAACGCTGAACGCTGTCAAGGTTTGGAGCAGGTTTTTAGTTATTGTGAATTAGCACGTTGTACTGAAGTGTGAGCAGTGACCCTGCTCCCAGCAAAGGCGGGTTGGTGCTGAGGCTGTGACACTGTACCCCAGCAGCCTCATGTACATCCATAAAAAATAAGGATGTGTCTGGTGGAATTTTAATTTTTTTAATAAAAGCAATGCTGTCTTCGTGTATAGAGTAACTTAAAGCAAGTCACATTGCTTCCAGGAATACCTCGTTGTTTTGGCACCATTTCTGTGGTCTTATTTCATTTATTTCGTTCATGTATTTAGTTTTTACAACCTGAGTAGGCAGAGCACTGCTTTGTGTGCAGTGCTAGCTAATGAGGCAGTCACTGAGAAAAATGTAGCCTAAAACAATGACTTTTACTGATACCAAACATAAACTGTTGTGTCTCAAACTCCTAGGCAATCCTCACTGCTTAAAAGCACCAAGTATGATTAATTATTATTATTCTCTGGCAAAATATGGGCTGAAGCAATTGAATGAAGGTGTTTTAAAATATATTCTTGAGTTTTGTTTTACAACTGCAAGTGTGTTTTGAGGACTGAATTGAGGAGTTGAAACCTCGGTGTTTTAACAGAAAACTTGCTACTCCTGATACTTTCCTTCTGTAGTTAACAAGGAGTTACTGTGGGACACTGAGGAAATTTCCTCCTGAGGTGGCATTAAACAAGGCTGTAATGGGAACAGGGAAGGACCTACACGTGTTCAGAACTGAGGGAATACCCCACACTAGTGCAGAAGAAAAATAAGCTCTCATTTCAGGGATAGTCCAGTTATAGACTTATGGAATGAGTAATTTATTGGGGAGATATATATAGAGAGATTTGTATATATTTAGGTGCATATAGACACATATACACACAGACACACTAATCCAAACACTTCCCCTGGTTTTCTCCCTGTGAATTTACACTATGTGGGAGTTCTGATGCTGTTCACCATCAGCAACTAGATGAAGGCTTAGATAAGGCTGCTGGTGTTGTCAGATGCTGGAGTTCCTGGTTTATAAATATTTCCAGGGAAAACCTTTGACCACAGACACAGATCTTCCTCTGTACCAAAAAAACTTTTAAAGGAAGAAACTATCCCAGATAGAAACAAAATAGGGTTGTTTTTTTCTCCTGGGATGACTTTGTTTTTGGGAAGTTTCTTGGATTCCTTCCAGGTAGATTGTCAAGTGTTTTCCAGCTTATCCAAAATATTTATGGGAGTCCCTAATGCTCTTGCAGGTGGTTCCTTGTGCTGACTTGCATGTTGTTGTTTCTTTGAACGAAGCAGTTAGGGAGATCCAGACTGCAAATGTATCCTTTTCCTAATAGCAGCGTTCCTGGGGTTGTCACCTATTGATAAAAGATTTGTTATCACCAGAGGAGCAGGAGGAATGTGTAGGGTTTGGATGTATGAGGCAACCAGGGTTGTGTAGGACCTGGAATACTTTCCCACAGGTACTCTGGATCTCAAGAGAGTTAAAGAAATACTTTGATACAAATCTGCTCTGAGGGAAGGATGAGCTCGTGATTCGTCTCAACTGAAAACTTCCTTCATCCTCCCACCAAATTCTGTTGTGACACTTTTGGGCCGGAAGCAAGAAAGGGATCGAGGAAGGTCAGTGTGGAGACAAGGCTGTTGTTTTGGCCTCCCAAAGCTTCATGCTCTGATCTTGTTACCAAATGGCAACAAGTTCCTTTTCATGTTCTTCTCTAAAACAGCCCACCACCGCTGTCCTTGTCCTCAGCAGCTTGTGTGAGCCCAGAGGATATCCAATATTTATGGGGATTAATTTTACACCGGTGTAAACTTAGTTGACTGTGAATGGACTTCTAGATCAACATTAAACTTGCATCTCTGGAGACACTCCTGGGATCATTACAGCAGGAACAGGCCTTGCAAACCTTCCTGGGAGGTGCTTCCTTACTCTTTTTTTTCCCTGTAGGTAGTTGCAGAGAGGAGACTTGCATCAGCCTTGTGGCAGCGTGGTTCTGTATTTCACTTTTCCAGCCTCAAGTATCTGCTCAGAGAAACTAGAAAGTTTTGGTGCAGTATCCAGTTAAGTTGGTACTCACCATGCTGGACAGGTCCTCGCTATTCCGTGTGTGTCCAGTGAAGCTGAAGGAGGTGCCTTGTCTTTGTAGGCCTGCAAGTGGTACTGGAAAGGGACTGATGGACTTTTTGCCATCCAGTGACCCCGGGGACGTATCCTTTGTCATCCTTTCCCAAAGCTGGCTGCTGCCAGACTGAGAGCTCCCATCACAGTCCTGGGGAATATCGGATTTATCAACTACATGACTTGAATTAAATGAAATTAAGGCTCATCCCTTTGCTATCAAATCCCATTACTTTCCTTAAGATGGCTTAAGAATTGCAGTGCGAGCGGGATCTACCAGGAAAGAAAGTGTAGAGCTGTCAACGCAGAGAGAGGAGAGAGGGTTTAAATGAGTTACTCTTATCTCTTGGGCAGAAAGGAAGGCTGCTAATGAGTGGGACATTCTGAGGGAAACTTTAATTATCCTTCTCCAGGCAGCATCCAAGCGTGCTGTCAACTTCAACATCTGTCAGAGGGCGTTCAGTGCAAGCAGATGTTTGTGCAGCACTCAGCCATCAGCTGCTTCTGCTGGGCCTGCGCTCACACTGACACTGTCTCGTACCTGTGGGGAAGCTAAGCCTCACATTTCCCTGTTCTTGGAAAGGGGGCATTCCCTGCCAGAGAGGGGAAGCCCTTGGATCTGTGCAACCCTTGGCAGTGGAAGCTGTGTGTGCTCCTGGTTTTCCATTTGTAGTGTTCAGAGGGAATGAAGGCTCGCAGAGCATCAGAGGGGGCAGATGTGTGGCCTTGACCTGGTATCTCATGGAGAAGAGAAAATGACCATCCCCTTCCCTCCCCTCTGGGAAGCAACACTGTTTCTGAATTTTCCTTGTGTGCCTTTTCTGTGTATCCTGAACTTGTTAGAGTAAATGTGGCCTCTCAGTGATGTAACAGTCTCAATTCCTAAAAATTCGCTTGGGGCAAGGAAGGAAGGAGGAGGAATTGTGATCCCTCTGGTTGGCTTTGATCAGATACTTTTTAGCGAAGTACATGGCAGCTGACCAAGATAATGACACAGTGCTTTCCTTTTTTACAGTTTGAAGATAAATCTGATGCTGTGTTTGATATTACAGACAAATGTAAGTATTTCTGTTTATATCTGTAAAGTTTCACAAAACATTTCCTGGAAGTGTCATTGCTGCTGAACAAGACCGTCTTGCCCATTTCCCAGCCCTTGCTGCCCACTCCCTCCCTGCTTTCTCCACAAGTGTTACAAGTGAGATGAATGGAAATTGATTCGTCCTTTGGTTAGTTTTACTCAGTTCAGCTTCTGCTTCAGAGTGCTGAGGAGGACTGAACTGTCTCCATCAGCAGTGTTTTAGCAGCAACGTTGGCCCAAGAAGACTGAGAGTATTCAAGGAATTGCAGCATGAGCCAGATTAGCAAAGGACACTCACCTTTCTCCTTTGTAACACATGAAGTTGGTCAATTTTCTGACTGTTCACTGGTTTTTTTTTTCTCCCTAGGTGGTGAAATTCTGGACGCAGAAATGTCTGAGGACACTGACAACTTAACACCTGCCCTGGACAGCTTATCTTACGGGATATCGAATCGAACAGGAGCTGAGAACTCCCTGCAGGGTGATGATCATGATTATTTTCTGAACTCTGGGGATCTTGCAGGCATACCTGTTGTTGGGAGTGACAACGAAGAGGAGCAGAATTTCACTCCAAAGGACACTCTTTCCTCAGCAATTCCCAATGAAGATCATCTGGACGAGGGCAAGAGAGTTCCAGAACATGAGTTGGACAGTGAGAAGGAAATTCAGATGCAGAATGCAATCCAGAAGGATCTCCCTTCCCCCTTTGAGCAGGGCCCTGTATTTAAATCCCATCGGAAGGATTTTAGCGTAACACGAGATAACGGCAAAGAGACTTTTTCAGCAAAGGATAAGAATAGAGAAGGACATTTTCAAGAACATGAAAAACGGTTGGAAAAAGTCCCTAAAGATATGGATTCTAGGTTGAAAAGCAGTTTTCTTGACAAAGCAGGTAACTGTTGCCATCGTAGACCTGGCTGCCCAGCACAGAGGAAGGAAGAACTAGACAGGAATAAACAACAGGGCCAGTTATTGAAAACATCACCTTGTGGAAGAGAACAGGCAGGGCTGTGTGCAGGGGAGCATTTTGTGAAGAACCCTGAAATCCAATGAACTCTGTTTAGGAGGAGGATTTGCAGAGCATTAGTGGGGGTCTCATCCTCCACAGCTGGTTACAGAGCCTCAACATACCCTTTGTTGTTGTGGTTTCCTAAACCAGGCTGGGTGACAATTCGAGCTTCCTTTTGGTTTTTCTTACTGGTTTTGTGTAGACCATGGAACTCCTTGCAAGAACAGCTGATGAAGCTTAGGTTAAGTTGATGGCCAGTAAAGGTTTTTTTGACCAAAGTACCAATTCCTCATTAATGTCTATGTGTTTAAAGCAGTGTGGATTTGATAGTAGCATCAGGGAAAGGCTTGCTGGAAGGGTGTTAGTGCCTGCAGGAAGTAAGCCAGAGCATAGCTTGAGGTCTGCTTTTCCTGGGAGACTGCTCTCCTTCTTCCTCAGATGTCTTGGACTTTGTCCAGCCAACATGGAGAGAACCAGAGATGCCTGGAATCCCTTTCTCATTTGACAGTCACCGTAGTCTTGCTGCCCACACACTTATTTTTGGCTTGCCAAGCTCTGAAAGTTGCAGCAGAACAGTGAATGAAGGAGTTAAGAACAAGCAGGCTGGAACACGTGATTTGGTGCTGGTCAGCAGAGGGAGGGTGAGGCAGCACGTGAGGGCCTCCTGGCTGCTTGTCCACACTCACAGTTCTGAGATTTACACTTGATGTGTTCAGCAACAGCATCTTAAAGTCAGTGCTTCCAGGTGGCACCAATGAGAGGGGAGCAATAGAGGTGTTTTTAAAGTAAAGAAGAGTTAAAGGCATCTCTTTGCTTTTACGTTCAGATAGAAATTGAGGGGAGAATATTTCTGTACAAAAGATGTATTTCGGAAAATTGTAAATATTTACAGTCAAAAATACTCTACAGGTAGAGGAGTCAGTAGTTGGAACAGGAATGGTAAATGCTCATGGGTAGCATTGAGTATCCAGGCAAATCCAGGTTTTTGAAAAGATATATTCTAAAAAAGCAGAAGCTACTAGAAGGGGGAAAAAGACTAAAGATCAGAACAACAAAGAAGAAGCTGAAAGATGTTGCTCTGAAAAGTGTTTTTGGATTTAAATGTCAAAACAGGAGAGTTCAGAACCTGCTGGGGTGTGGAAAATTCTGACTGAACAGTTCTCTTTGGAATTTTACAACCATTTGGCTGGAATGGGAGAATAACGATCCAATAGAATAATAAGAACAGGCCAGCTCCCTGTAGGGATTGCCATCTCGCTCGCAGGGAGGAGAAAGGGAGTAGTTCAATACTGGTGAGGTGCTGTCAGACTCTGGGGTTGGGGAGCAGGATGAGACTCTTTGATAGTTTGAAAGGAAATGCCTTGGAACCTGTATTCATTTCTATTTAATGTATATGTTTTCCTCAGTTCATAATCAAGTAGAAGAAACATTACGGACGCAGTTAGCGCCACAAACTCCAGAAACTAACTTCAGGGTAAGCTATAGACCTTTCAACCACTTTTGCAAGTGCAGCAATGTGCTGGAATAATTCAAAACACGTATTTTGTATTTGAGTGTAAATTTGAGTGTCAAGGAAAACTGATCTTCTGACTCTTAGACATCTGTGCTACTTAAACAGTGCCTGTAATTTTGTAAAATTTTGCTGACCCTCTCTTTGGATTGAGGATTCTTTCGGTAGCCACTTTGCTGTTCAGCGTGGTCTGAGTGACCCGTGAGCCGAATCCAGACCTGGATGCATCCACCTGACCTGCTGTCTTTTTTTCCACACGAGCCAGGGAACAGCTGTATCCACAGGAGACACACCCAAAGAACCAACTCAGAGAGCTGGGTGGCTTCTGCTTCGGCCAGAGGAGTGGAAAGGATTGGGGGTGGGATGAGAGAGGGGGCTGCAGGGAGGTCCAGGCAGCAGCTGCTGCCCAGCACCTCTCCCACCTTCCAGTGGCAGGACCCAAATCTCTCGGTCTGCACCACAAAACTCCCCTTGGCAGCAGCCCAACTCCTCATGGCAGATGCAGGAGGGTGAATTCTTTTTCATATTATTGTTTCAGGAGTCTAGCTACCTATTTTCTAGTAAGGAATCTATTGGACAAGAGCTGGGGAGTTCCTTTGCACGAAATATTAGAATTAAGGAGGAGCCTTTGGATGACGAATATGATAAAGCTATGGCCCCACAGCAGGGACTGTTAGACAAAATTAAAGATGAACCTGGTAATTCTGAGGTAAGTTTCCAGTCGCATTTCTCACTTTGGTCTGACAGCTGACCGCATAAGCTGAACGTAAATTCAGCACTTTATTTGGTTTGTTGACCGAAATTTAACTTGAAGAACATAGTTTAGTAGAAGGATTTTTCTCTCCTATACTACCATGAAACCCAACCCCCCACCCAACTTTTTGATGTCTTGTTACCTTGTTGCTCAAAATGTTTTGCCTTTCAGTTGGAAACAAAGCCAAGCGCTGTAAAACTTCTGTTATTAAATCTGAGGCCATGTAGGCACTTGATCAGTCTAACTAGGAAATAAACTGTAAAGCACATTTTGTTGAATACCTTGTGAGTAGTCACAGTTAGAGATGTGAGTTAAACCAGTGCTATTCCTGCTATCCCCTTAAAGGATGTCTCTGCAAGCACAGCGGTTCGTTGTTCTTGTTTTGAATTAACACTTAAGAGATCTTAGCAAAATATTTAAGTACTTACAACGTCAGTAAGGTCAATTTAAGCATGTGTTCAATTCTCATTGGAGACTGACATTTTTGATGATGATGCAGGTGAAAGCTCAATACTTGCAGCCTGGGGAAGGTCTGCCCTACAGAGGGAGCGGTGCTGGGGCAGGACTGCTGGGCTCAAGCCAATCTCTGTGCCACTGGTTCGCTATGTGACACCAGGGAAATGAGCTGGGCTGCAGTTCCTGTCTCCTCACTGCTCATCTTTGGGCTGCCTGCCAAACTTCATGTGTCAAAGGTGTGCAGAGCTTCCCTCAGTGATCCATCCCCTTGCACTGGCACGGCAGTGTTGGTGTTCCTGTGCAGGCATTAGTTTTTAGCATCACTCTGTGTCCTTCTGCTAAACCTCCTCTGCTCTCTGGGCCTGTCTTACCAGCATTTTTTCCTTCTTTCCCCATAATACTCTTAATAAAGAAGTAAATTATTTGCAACTTCAGATTTCACTGCCCTTCTGATTTCAGTCTCTGGGGGATTGTTTGGGTTTATTTTTCCATAGGATGTCAAACCACGTGTAGGGTAGTTAAATCTGTCTCTTCTTTTGTCCTCCAAAGATGGCATCTGCTGTGTGGATTTGTGTGGAATGCAAGGCGAGATGTCTGTGGTTATCAGAGATCATATTAATAAGTAAAAAATGAAGACTTGAAGAATTTAAATGTCAAATATCCTATGGTTCAAAATATTCCTTCCTGGAGTAAAATCCTGTGATTATCAACTCTGCCTGATACTGGAAAAGTAGGAGAACTGAGTTCATTTTGTTTTGCTTTAGATTGGAATTAATATGGGGGGTGTTTGTGTTTTTTTTTTTTTTTAATATTTCCTGAAAGATAAGAGCATTTCTTGCTGTAACCAATAGCTGGAGCTGAAGGTTTTTGGCTTTCAGCACTGCTACACTGCTGTGAAACTGCTTGATCATGCACAGTTGATGTCAGGATTTGCCTCCATTTCTCTTGACTAAGGATAAAACTGCAGTTAAAATGCTTAAAAACCTGTATGTCTGCAAGTAACTGTTTTTTAAATAATAATAATAATAATGATGATAATAATAAAAATGGTGCTTTAAATCTCATCACAGTTCACCCATACCCAGGTTAGAACTTCTCTTAGCTGAGATTTGAGTGTTTCAGTTCACATGATCAGGAAACACCACTGCCTGCTCTCCTGGGAAACCTGTTGAGAAATAGTTTGGTTGTCTTAGAGTAGAAACTTTCAGCTTCCCTCAGCAGTTAGAGAAGTGTTGTGTGCCTTGTGGAGGTTGGTGTGGGATTTTTAGGAGCTGGTTTAGGCTGGGGGAGCAGCTCACTGTCACTGGGAGGGGGGGGTTTCCTGGCAGCCAGGCAGGGGAGTGTGAGTTCAGCTCAGTCAGAACATGCCATCCTGCCTCACTGCTCCCAGATGACTGTAAGGAGGTTAAATCTTGTCATCTCTGTAGTTCCAAGAGATTATGCTTTTCAGCCTATTAGGATTTCCATGTGGAGTGTTCCAAGCTGCTTTCTGGCTCGGATTTCCAGGGAGAGCAGGGGCAGGAAGCGTGGTGGTGTCAGGCTGAGGAGCTGCTGGGGACTAAGCCAGTCATTTACAGCTTGTCAGCCACTCCACAGGCAGCTGGCCGTGGGGATTTGCTCATCCTGTGAGTGTGAGGTGATTGCCCAGGCTGAGCAGGGGTGTGATGCTCTGGCTCCAGTGGTGCCAGTTTGATCTGCTGCAAAACTTCACCCCAGGCTGCTCCACGCCCCGAACTCCTGCTTAGCACGGAGTGTCCTCCTTGGGGTCCCAGCTCTGTTCCCTCTCTGTAAAGCTTGTTTCACAGGACAGGGGCAGGGGCTGCAGAGCACTTCCAGATGGCAAGTTTGTGTGAGTGCAAAGCAGAGATTTCCTAAAGCCTTGGCCGAATTCTGAGGTGTCTTGGAGTACAGCTGGAGAGGGCAGCCCCACTTTTCCATTCGTGCACCCCTCGGGTGTGGTTTGCTGTGACCCCCTGAGCAGGTTCTGTGTGTGGTGCTCAGGTAGCAGCACTGTCACCTGGCTTAGGACACTCACTCTTCCTTAGGGTTCAATGCAGCCTTGTGAAAGAATGGAAATCATGTAAGCTGTGATGACATGTGTGTATTTGTTCTCCTTTTCCTTTCCCTTTGTTTTAGGAGTACGGCCAACAGCCAAAATCTCAGGAAGGGGAGCTGAAAATCAGTGCTGTATTTTCAGTCAGTGGCAATCCTGTTGGTAAGGAATAGGCAAGACTAACTTCATTTAAACCTGTAAAATATGTCACCTTTGCAAATAGTCCTGCGGGTTATTCTGCATTTCATTTCCCGTGTCTGACCCCAGTAGGAATAAAGAACTAGTTTGGTTTAGAGACAATGAAATTGAGATTATAAAATAATTGTATTTTTGAGGTATAGGAAAATTGAATGTGTTAAATGGCCTTAAGCTGAAGGAGGGCAGGGTGAGATTAGATGTTAGGAAGAAATTCTTCCCTGGAGGTTGGTGAGGCCCTGGCATAGGTTGCCCACAAAAGCTGTGGCTGCCTCATCCCTGGAAGAGTCCAAGGCCAGGCTGGAGCAACTTGGGCTAGTGGAAGGTGTCCCTGCCCATGGGAGGGAGGTTGGAATTCAGTGAGCCTTAAAGTCCCTTCCAACCCAAACCATTCTGTGATTCCACGAAAGGGATGCTGAGAGTGCATTCTCCGTCTTAATAGTAGCTAAAAAAATCTGCTATGCAGAAACCCAGCACAGGGCATGTATTTCTGGAGAGTTCACGTGCTATTTGATTCTCCTCTAGACCCTGACAACCCAAATAAAGTCACGAGCCTTGTGCTTGCCCCTGCACACAGTGAGGTCTGTGTAACAGATCCGTAACACTTACACTGTGTTTTCTCTGTGTGGGTTTTTTTTTTTTAGCTCCACAGCTGTCATCAGGTTTCCAGCCTGCTGTGGCATCCTCTGGCATGAGCAAAATGCTCCCTTCAGTTCCAAGCACAGCTGTTCGGGTTTCCTGTTCTGGCTGTAAAAAAGTCCTGCAGAAGGGGCAAACTGCCTACCAGAGGAAAGGCTCGACCCAGCTCTTCTGCTCCACACTGTGCCTCACTGGATACACCACTCCAGCTTCTCGCCCACCAGCTTCTACCAAGAAAACCTGCTCAAGCTGCTCAAAGTAGGACAATGCCTTCATTTGCTCTGGCCATAATTGATATTCAAGCAGATAATTTTGTGCCCCTCGCTGTGTCTGTAGTGCTGCTCCCCTTCCACGTCCCTGCAAAAATTGGGGCTGGTGCTGTTCCTTGTTAATTGGTCTGTCTGCTGGCAGTTCCATTTCCTTAATTGGGTGTTACATATGCACATTTAAAAGCCTCTGTGATGAAGAGTTGTCTTTTTTTGACCTTTTTTTTGTGACTTTTTTCCCTACACCCTTATGATTGGTGTGGGCATTGTTAAAGGGAGTTGTTCCACATGTCCTGCCTTCTAGATTTTTGATTAGTAAAGACTGTGCAAAACAGTGACTTTCTCTGAGTTCCTTTAGGAAAGATGTGATGATACAGTTTGTATCACACCTACTTGAGAATTGTGCTGCTTATCTATTTTCCTATTAGGAAGAGAAAAGTGAAGTCAGGTACTTAGGCAGCAAAAAAGAAAGGTTTAAATGAAATGGATCCACCCTCTCCTGGAGAATGTTTAGTCTCCAGAAGAAGCAAGGGCAGCAAGCTGACATGAAACCAGCATTAATCCTTTGTCTCTGTGTTTGTTTTTCCTTTTCCATAGAGAAATTCTAAACCCAAAGGATGTAATCACTGCCCAGTTTGATAACACGGACTCCAGTAGGGATTTCTGCAGCCAGTCTTGTCTGTCCACGTATGAACTGAAAAGGAAACCCGTTGTCACTGTCCACACCAACAGCGTTTCCAGCAAGTGCAGCATGTGCCAGAAGAACGCAGTGGTAATTGCAAATTCCTTCATTTGAGTTGCTTTAGCACAGCTTGCTGTCTCGGGGAGGAACACACAGGAACACATATTCCTTGCTGAGTGTGCTCCCTTTCCCCCCAGATCAGGCACGAGGTGAATTACCAGAACGTGGTGCACAAGCTCTGCAGCGACGCCTGCTTCTCCCAGTTCCGCTCGGCCAACAACCTGACCATGAACTGCTGTGAATACTGTGGGGGGTACTGCTACACTGGCTCTGGGCAGTGCCACATCCTGCAGATAGAGGGACAGTCCAAAAAGTTCTGCAGTTCCATATGTGTGACAGCCTACAAGCAGGTATATGTGAGAGGACAAGGGGGATCGGCTTCCCACTGCCAAATGGAAGGATTAGGTGGGGGTTTGGGAGAAATTCTCCCCTGTGAGGGTGGGCAGGCCCTGGCACAGGTTTCCCAGAGAAGCTGTGGCTGCCCCATCCTTGAAAGTGTCCAAGTCCAGGTTGGACGGGGCTTGGAGCAACCTGGGCTAGTGGAAGGTGTCCCTGCCCATGGCAGGGGGTGGAACAGGATGCTAAAACCAGAACTCAAAGAAGAGCATCTACATCATAAGTAACAACTGTAAAACAAGTGTGGTTTCAAGCACCCCAGCACATTTTATACGTGTTTTATGTGTTACCGATAATCTCCAGGTTAATGAAAATGCCAGGTTCCAAACGAATGACCAGTTTCCCTGTTTCCACAGAAGTCAGCTAAAATCACACCCTGCACACTGTGTAAATCTCTGAGGTCTTCAGCCGAGATGGTGGAGAGCACAAATAACGTGGGGAAAACGGAATTGTTTTGCTCTGTGAACTGTTTGTCAGCATACAGAGTAAAAATGGTCTCTTCTGCAGGTAAGCTTGTCCTTTTGCTTCTGTAGAAGCTTAATTTCACAATGCTCATACCCAGACTTTATTTGTCTTGAAAGTTAAGGCTGATATTCTTTTTTTGGGGTGGCCCCTTTTATAACAGGAAGTGCTGAGATGGGAATATAAGGACTTTCTACTCTAGGTGAACGTAGCAGTGACGGTACAGCCATTTCAATTTTGGTTTTAGGGAGCTTAAACATGATAATCGATCTTAAATCTATTTTCTGCTCTTGCAAGTGCAGCTGGTGGGTTTCCCAACCACCTGTATGGACATACACCATGTCACTGCTGGGGCTCCTCTGCCCTTGTTCTCTGGGGTGATGAGTTGGTTACCTCAGCCCAGTGTTGCATGGAGCTAGGCAAACACCTTCTCAGCTGTTTTTCTTGTGGAATTAGAAAAACGCTTACTGACATCCTAGGGATACTGGGAGATTAATTAAATTTCTGGCAAGCAACAGGCACAGCAGCTGCAGTGTCTGCTTCTGAATCTGTAGAAACGTCGTCTCGGGCTTCTCTCTGTACCTTGGCTCATCATTCAGACTGTTTTTGTATGCACTGTGCAAAATCATCTGCAGTACAACCTGATGTTGCATAAATTACTTTTTCTTCTCTGTTTCACCCTCAGGTGTCCAAGTTCAGTGCAACAGCTGTAAAACCTCAGCAAACCCTCAGTATCACTTGGCTATGTCGGATGGGAGCATTCGCAATTTTTGCAGCTACAATTGCGTAGTGGCTTTTCAGGTGTGGCATTCTGGGATTTCTTCTTAGCTGAATGAACAGAGTGCTGAATCGGTGGTGGAAGCGTCTGGGAGGCTGGGTGAGAGGTGTGACCATGCAAAATAAAGCCTGATGCTTTGCTTCCCCGCAGAATTTGTTCAACAAGCCTTCAGGGCTGAAGTCCTCGGTGGTGCCGCTGTCGCAGGGTCAGGTCATCGTGAGCATCCCCTCGGGGACGGCGGTGTCGGCCGCTGGCACCACCTCCACGGTGACCTCCAGCTCCACCAGCACCTCAGCTGCTGCAGGGCTCCAGAGACTGGCTGCCCAGTGCCAGCAGGTCACTTTTACCCGCCCCGTTGCAAAACTCAAGTGTCAGCACTGCAACAGATTGTTTGCAACCAAACCCGAACTGCTTGACTACAAGGTAATCAGGAGCAGGGCTTTTCAAGCTCTTTTTTTCTCTGCAGAAATCCAAGGAGTTGTGGTTTATATGCACTGGTCTGTCAGTACTGCTCTGTTGCTTACTATGAGCTGCTATGGAGGGATTTGGAACTGATTATTGTATCATTTAACCATTATCAAACTAAATACTGATACGAGCTCCATGGTCTTAAAACCAGAGGAAAAAAAAAAAAAGAACACCACAAAAACCCAAACTAAATGATTACCTGGCTAAAGAAACACATTCCCATCTCTTGGACCCAGAGATGATCCTTTTAATCCAAGGGCAGAGCACATTGGTGAGGGTTTTCTGCAGAAAGTTCTGCTTTATTGTGAAGCTAAATGGGGAGATTCATTTGCTGGTGCTGTCTGTTGTTGATTTCCAAGGGTATAAATATGTTTCTGCGTTTTTATTAACAGTTAAAATGTATTATCTGGGATGTGACTCATTCAGACATTGAAACCAAAACATTCTGGCTGTGTTGCAGGGTAAAATGTTCCAGTTCTGTGGGAAGACCTGCTGTGATGAGTATAAGAAAAAGAACAGTGTGATGGCTTTGTGTGAATACTGCAGGTTTGAGAAAATTATCAAGGAGACAGTGAGATTCTCAGGCTCAGATAAAACATTCTGTAGTGAAGGTAAGAAAGGGCAAACCCCTCTCTGAGAGAAATCAAGTCACAAGTGTTTTGCCTTAAAATTATTGGTGATGCTACGAGAAATCCAATATTTTTAAGTTAGAAATCTGGTTCTTTTAGGTTTAGGGACACAGAACTTTCTTCACACTTAACTTTTTAATGGTATGCTGCAACAAATTGCTACAGACATCACTAAATGCAAGAACTAGAAGTGCTCAGCGATTGTCTTTTTGTACTTAAGAATGTTTTTGCTGTTTTCTTTTAGTTTGTAAACTGCTCTATAAGCACGACCTGTCGAAGCGCTGGGGAAACCACTGTAAAATGTGCAGTTACTGTTTACAGACTGCCCCCAAGCTGGTCCAGAATTACTTTGGGGGGAAAGTGGAGGAGTTTTGCTCCGAGGAGTGCATGTCTAAATTCACAGTTCTGTTTTACCAGGTAAGCAGTGTTGTCACAGCCTCCAGGAGAGGTTTTTATCCACGTGCTCCTCGCTGGTGGTTCCAGGTGTGTTCAGTTGCTCCCTCCCTCTCTTTTCCTAGATGGCAAAGTGTGATGGTTGTAAGAGGCAAGGAAAACTCAGCGAGTCCATAAAGTGGCAAGGGGAGATGAAGCATTTCTGCAACCTGCCTTGTATCCTGCTGTTCTGTAAACAGCAAAGTGTTTCTGACCCTCCACCCCCAAACAACACAGGTAAAGCGGGCTGGGGGTGCTGCTGCCTCTTGGTGTGCCTGACAGTGAGATGGATGTTTGTTTGGAAACTCAGTCCAGGGAACTTTCTAAGATCTGTCCTCTCCTGGGGAGTTTCCCTGTTGCTGTTGGATGGGCCGAGGTTTAGACTGCCCTTACTTGAGGCAGTTTCAAACTTCTGTAGGTGTGAGATGCAGCTACTTCACGTGCTAAACAAATTTTAAAGAAGATGAAGCAAAAGCACTTGCTTTTCAGTCACTTCAATGAAAAAAAGGCCTGTTCTCTTGGGGTAAAATGTACTGATCTGGTGAGGACATGTTAAATATGTCACTTGTCTTGATAACACAGGGCAGATATGGTACAATGTTAACTTTCAGTTAACAAAAGCAATGGAGTGGTGAAATTAATAGAGTTAGTGGCTGTAAATACAGACTTGCATATATGCACTTAAAGCAGCCAGCTCTGGGCAGTCTGTGGGCATATGAAGAGTTCCCATTTCTGTGTCATTAAGTGCTGATTCTTGGAAGTGTCGTTCCCAAGGTTAATGAGGTCTGAAGCTGTTTCCTTGAGCAGGTGGAGTGGGAATGAGGGTGGGAGTGAAGCCCACTGGAACAAGAACTGTGAGTTTCTGTAGGGAGTGAAATGCAAAGGGAAAGAGAGGCCCACAAAGACAGGAAGAGGAAGGGAAACAAGAAACAGGAATATCACTAGTCCTAAAGAGGGGCATAATCTCCCACTGAGTGGTGGTGGCTGTAACAGTAAGGTACCCAAAAGCAATGAAGTGTATTAACTGAGAGTTTATAGTGTGCACCAGGCCACAGTCAGCTTTTCAGCTTGGTGCACATCTGCTGCTTGCACTGGTGGGAGCTCTTTTCCTCCTCTTGCTTTGTTTGCTTGTGGAACCAGCTCCTGTTTAAACTGAAATGCTACAGCTTTACACCTTCATCCCCTTCTCACAGCAGCCTTTTTCATCTGGAGATAAATCTGAAGGGGGGTGTGTTGTTTCAGAAATGCTATTTTACAAATTATCTTACTGCTTATTTTCATTTTCTTCTGCTCACTGTGTCCAGCAAACCTTTCCATGGCACCTGCCTCCTCCTCAGGCCCTCCTTCTTTGAGAAAGGACTCAACCCCTGTCATAGCAAACGTGGTGTCCCTTGCAAGCACCCCAGCTGCCCAGCCTACTGTTAACTCCAACAATGTCTTACAGGGTAAGGCAGCTGAATACCATGCCTGTGCTTTTAAATCTCTAGTCCTGAACATCTATGTTTGCTCAGGGATTTTTTGCACTGAGGACAACAGCCACTTCTTCATTATTCTTCACATCAGTGTAGGTGGTTGCATTTGTTCTTTCCTTTATATAGGTATAAATAATGACTTGAATTTATGTGCCTAAACAGGGAATGAGTTTTAATTGGAATTCTTTTTCTTGACCTTGGCAGAATATGGATTATGGTCCTTGATGATAAGTACACAGGTTATTGTATGCTTGTGTTTTTTTTTTTTCTTCACAGGTGCAGTCCCTACTGTGACAGCAAAAATAATAGGAGATGTAAGTTTTATAAGAGATTCTTTTTCTCACTTTCACCTATAAAGTATTTGAGAGTTCTGCACTGTCATTTTGGAACTGCTTTCCCTGGTTATGATTGGGCATTAAAATTCATCCAGCCTGCAGATGCTTTTTGAAAAATGGATAGAATTTACATGGCATAAAAGTTCTGTTGTGTTCACTGACAGATTGGATGATTTAAGGCAAAGCCTGTCAGATTGTAGCTCTTGAGGTGTCTGTGGTTCTCAAGTAATTCAGTAGTTTCGCATCACTTTACTCAGTTTTTTAGGTATCTGTATCAGATTTTTAGTTACCAAAAGTATCTTAACTCCTTTTTGTATCTTTGCCATCAGTAAGATTCCAAGGTCAAAAGTTTATAGTGGGTATTTGACTACAGGAACCAAATATTCCTGCAGATTTCTTCACTGTGCTGTTAACAAAATTAGCTGGTTTTGCAGGAGTTTTTAAATGATCATTTTTATCAGCAAGTAGAGGTTTAAATTGTTCAACCTCCCACAGCAGAGAACAAACACTACTCTTATGTTATCCTTCAAACCAATACTGACTCTGCCCTGGTTTTGTGTTTTCCAAACAGGCAAGCACCCAGACAGATGCCCTGAAGCTCCCATCATCAAAACCACCCAGACTTCTAAAAAACAAAGCTTTATTGTGCAAGCCAATCACACAGACTAAGGCCACCTCCTGCAAACCTCACACACAAAACAAAGAATGCCAGACAGGTGGGTATCTGGTCTCCTACCCCTGTTGTAAAAGTCTGTATTGCAGTTGAGGCAGTAATACATGACTCATGTAACAGAGCATTATTTAATTTATTTGAAAACCTTAACTAGTTTTCAGGCTGTTGTGTGGCATTCTTCCAACATTTTTTGGTTTGTTCTGTTTTTGTTGTAACAGAAGCAGCACCTGTTCAGCCCCAGATCGTTGTGGTACCTGTTCCTGTCCCAGTGTTTGTGCCAGTGCCCCTCCACCTCTACACTCAGTACACACCAGTTCCCCTGGGGATGCCAGTACCTGTAAGTTATGCTGCAGTTCACTACAGAAGTCAGTGGTTTCCAGTCCTGCTTGGTGTCCAGCACACCCAGCACAGTGGCACTGGGTGTTGTGTCTGCTCATGCAAGTGGTGCTTGGGGTCCTTGAAGGCATTTCCCTCCCTCCTGCATAATGCTTGGTTAAACATCATCACACAAAACTGCCAGTTGGTAGGGGGAGCACAGAACAAGTTGTCCTGTCCAGAGTTATTTTTAAATTAATTTCAGTAGTCCTGAAACATATGTAAGATTAAATGAGAGGAATCTCTCTCGTGTGTTTGCTGTTTCAACTTCACCCCTGAATATGGTTTTCCACATGTTCCATAGGTACCAGTTCCCATGCCCTTCCCAACTACCCTGGATAACGCTGATAAGATCATTGAAAATATTCAGGATGGCAAGGAAAAGATTTCCATAAATCCATTTGAAGCTGATCTCCTTCAGATGGCGGAAATGATTGCAGCAGATGCGGAGAGAGAAAAAACACACTCTCATGGTGGTAGGTGGTGCCTGCAAAAGGAAAATGAAATGCGGTGAGGGGAAAGTCCTCTCACCACAGAGATTTCCCTTTCCTCCATCCTGGGTGCTGATTTGACCTGTATGGACAGTAACAGGTTACTAGAGGTAGTCATCTCCAGATCACTACATCATGTGTTAGAAGGAGGAGCCAAAATCAAGAAGACAGAGCAGCTGTTTTAAACAGCTGTATTTTCCTATCAGGATTTTTATGGGGGGTTTATGAAGGGTGGTGCAGCTCAGAGTGTGTTGGATAGTGACCAACCCATGTAGTAAAAATTGAACAAGCTGAAAAGAGATGAACAGAGTATCTTATTTGTCCAAAGGTGACTCAAACAACAAACGAGGAGGGATGGAAACCTTTGGAAAAGCAAGCATAGGTTAGTTCTGCATTTCTGTTTCCCCTGCAACAGCATGACCAAGGTAGAAAGCTGTTGGGAGAGCTCCAGTGAAGGAGAAGACACATCTTGTGTGTTAATATTATGAGCTAATACATAGTTTTTGTGGTGTCCAAAGTATTTTATATTCGTTGTATAAGCTGTCAGTCATGTGCAGATACAGTTTCCTTCTTTCTCCAAAGGATCTCAAACATCTGAGCACGAGCTCTTCCTGGACCCCAAGATATTTGAGAAAGGTCAGTCAGATTTTTTTTTTTTTTTTGTGAGTGGGTTTTGATCCTTTGTATCTCCTCTGGCACACTCCTGGTTTTATGCCTTTCCTGTGTGGTGCCTCTCGTTGCAGACCAGGGCAGCACGTACAGCGGAGATCTGGAGTCAGAGGCCGTGTCCACTCCACACAGCTGGGAGGAGGAGCTGAACCACTACGCCCTACGATCCAACGCCCTGCCAGAGCCCGACCCAGAGCTGAAGCAGTTCTCCAAAGGGGAGGTGGAGCAGGACCTGGAGGCCGATTTTCCATCAGGTCGGTGTGATGTGAAGAGAAACTCGTTGTCCCGTGGAGGCACGCGCGGTTTTCTGCTTGAGCGTTGGGCCACCAGCCTGCCTATGGGTTCTCGTGGAGTGAAACTGGGTGTTTAAAGCTGCAGTTATTGATCAGCTCTACTAATAGTTACTATTTTAAAAATATTAGTGGTATCTCCAAAGACAGCATTCTGCAGAACCCCTGACAGGAGTAGCAGGCAGCCTTGCTTGACTCCTTTAACTCATCACTTCTGTGTCCCTGGGTATAATCCATGTGAATGGGGGGTAAGATCATGTTTGCCTGAATAAATAAACCCACTGTTTCAGGGGGCTTTTTGCTTCTACTGAGAATTTACTTCCTTTTCACAGAAAGTGCATAGATTTGCTCAATCATTCAAATGTCAGCATTATTTGAATATAGAGCTGTGATTGCCAACTGTCAGGTGTTCCCTAGTATCTCAGTGACAGTGACACTTCTACCTGGGCTGCTAAATCATGTAATTAAACTCTTCATGGTGTTGATTTGACTCCAGACTCATTTGACCCTCTCAGTAAAGGACTGGGCTTGCAGTCACGGTCGCGGGCAAGGCGGAGACACAGGGACGGCTTCCCACAGCCAAAAAGAAGGGTAAGGAAGCACTTCTGGAACACAGACTCCTCCAGTTTGAAATAATAACATCACATGCACTAATCTGAGCATCCAGAGATGAGGAGCTTGCTCAGTGCTGACTGTTGGTTTGCCTGCAGGGACGGAAGAAGTCTGTAGTGGCTGCGGAGCCCCGGAATCTGGTGCAGGGCTCCTACCCCGGCTGCTCCGTGTCTGGGATGACCCTCAAGTACATGTATGGGGTAAACGCCTGGAAAAACTGGGTCCAATGGAAAAACGCGCAGGAGGAACAAGGGGACCTGAAGTTTTCAGGTAAATCTGTCTCTCAGTGGAAACAGAAGCACTTAGTTGAAAAACAGTTGTCATGATATGTTGTTCAGGTAAAAATTAGGATTAGATGTCACTGAGCTTTACAGTATCCATGAGTGGAGAATGGATTTTATGGAATACTGTCTTACATTTTTCCATGCATTTAAAAATCATGGCTATTACATTCTTAATTGATCTGTTTGCTTTAAAAACAGGCTCTGAAACATTAGAGATGTTGGTCTTTTAACATCTGATTTGCCTTCATTTGCACGTAGTGATTCTTCACTGGTAGCAGAGATGCCTCTTATGCAGCTGCAGAGCTTTTCTGATCTACTATAGAGTCATAGATTTATCAGGCCATAATTCTAAGTTGACAGCACCAACTTGGCCCCATCCTTTTCATCCGTAGCTGGCGCATCCCCAAGGTATTTGCTTGTCAGCAGAACTGTTTGCTGTAAAATAATTTCGTGCTACAACATCAAAATCTTAGCACCTTATCTCTAGGCTTCACAGCTGGAAAGAAACATTCCAAAAGTCTGTGCTGCAACCTGCCTGAAATTAACTTCGTTGTCTCACTGGGGTGACAGATAATAATGACATAAAATGTCACTTTTATTTTTCCAATGATGGATTATATTTTTTTTTTCCACAAAAACCCAGCAGTCCTGGTATTTGGCAGTGTCTGTTTCCCATTTTCCCTGGTCTCAGATCTTACATCATTGCACTGAGTTTTGTGGGCAGCTTTTCAGATTTGAGCAGAGAATTTAAGTTGGGAGTAGAACTGAGCTTTTTGGGGATGGTGAAGAAGAGAGCAAACCATAATAAATACTTGTGCAATGTAGAGAACTAAGTGTGGCAGGACTTGTATAAGAAAGATCCCAAAGGGAAAAATTCTAATTAGGATGAGATCTTTTTTCATCTCTCATTTGGAATTTTTGTTGCCATTACATGAGAGCAGCTGGGGTTTATTTCCCAGAAGAGGAGTAATCACATGAGTTACTGTGTGTTCTTCTTGTGGCTAAGGAAGTAAATATTACAGTTATTTCCAGGAAACTGTGCCCACTCCCAGAAAGATTCTCTGCTTGCTTATTCCCAAGCAGGCACTTCTGAAGTGTGGAGCAGCCAAGCCTGGTGATTTCACTGTCGATCATTTGATTGATTCCTGGTTGCTCTGCTTCCCTTTCCAAATCCCCCACGGGTCCCATTAAACTCTTCCTTCCTTCTTCCTCTAAGAAGTCAGATCTGCTGCACTCGGTGATGTCCAGAACGGTCAGGAAATGCTCAAGGGCTCTCACTGCCCTGAGTGCAGCTGGAGAGGTGAAAGCCCTTGGTCAGCCCATGCAGGGGGGTTCATGTGGGAGAGGAGATTTGGGAGCTCTGCCTACGGGAAGTAATGAGGAATGTGTGAAGGTTTCATCTGCTGAATTAATTTCTCCCATGGTTTTCCTGGCCCCAGTTCATCCTGTGAAGCTCAAGGAGGACATTCTCTCATGCACTTTTGCTGAGCTGAGTTTTGGCTTGTGCCAGTTTATTCAAGAGGTGCGGAGACCAAACGGAGAAAAATATGATCCTGACAGCATCCTGTACTTGTGCCTTGGAATTCAGCAGGTAAGTCCAGGGATTGGGGGGATGCTGGCAACAGACAGAACTTACTCTGGTTATTTATGCTTTACATCCATAGTCCCACAGAGCAGCTTGGGTTTTGTAGAGGAGGCAAGAACATTTCCTTTTTGTGCTTTATTCTCTGTGTTAATTCCATATTTTACTGACTTGTCTTGACTTTTTTATGCTTAGAGTGACCAAGTTCTTCTGTCCTTGTAGGAATGTGATGGGTTGGGCTCAGTGTTTCTACCTAGGCACAAACCTTTGGGTTTGGCACCTTTTTGGTCCTATTTAATATATAGGAAAGATTTGCTTTAGGATGGGATGTTTTAGACCTAAAATAATTGCATGATGCTCTTCTAATATATAAGTTTACATGAAAGAGGTTACCCAGGAAAGATTCTCAGTGGCAAGACCTGAAGTGTCCTCTCTGCAGTGTTATTTAATCACAAACTGTGTGTCTCCCTGTTTTTTCTCTCCTAGTACCTATTTGAGAATGGTAGAATAGACAACATTTTTACTGAGCCCTATTCCAGGTTCATGATTGAACTCACAAAACTGTTGAAAATCTGGGAACCTACGATCCTTCCAAATGGTAGGACGCTTCTTTTGTTTGGTTTAGCTGCATGATAAACCTCCATCATAAATCAATGTTTTCTCATGCTGAATGTCATAGGAATTACACATTTTTGCAGTTGGCTGATTGTGGTTTAATATGGTGAAATTAGAACTTAGTGAGGATCTGCTGGTGTCTGCAGTGTTCCTTTACATCCTTCTCTTCAGGTGTTGGAAGATCATGCTGTTCCACAGCTTGGCTGGTTCTCCATGTCCCTCCTGTGTTCTGCATGCAGAATTCTGATTTTATTGGATTACAATTGCTTATAATAGGTGTGAATTTGGTCTGATACGGGGTTCATCAATATAGGTTGGCTGAAAGAGGACTTAGATGCATAAATAACTATTCTCTTTCTTTCTTTGCCCGTTCTTTCTAGGTTACATGTTCTCAAGAATCGAGGAGGAACACCTGTGGGAGTGTAAGCAGCTGGGTGCATATTCCCCCATCGTTCTATTGAACACCCTTCTGTTCTTCAACACCAAATACTTCCAACTAAAGAATGTCAGTGAGCACCTGAAACTGTCCTTTGCCCACGTTATGAGGCGCACCCGAACTCTCAAGTATAATACTAAGATGACATATTTACGTTTTTTCCCACCCTTTCAAAAACAAGAGGTAGAATCAGGTGAGTGCTCTCTGATCATCGGGGTTTGGGCAATCAGGTTTGTGTTGTCTGGATCACAGAATTCATTGCATTGTCTGCTTCTCTGTTAAAAAGGACTGGGGAGAAAAATTGTGGTATTCAGTAAGCAGAGCTATCACATGCTGTTCTCCTGGACATTTCTAGTATTTTTCACTGGTTTAATAATATTTTATAACATCCTCGACTTGCATAAAGTTTTATTAACTCCTGCATGAGTTAAAGGCCTTTTCTGAAGTCCTTTTCTCAGCACTTCATATTCTCGAGGTTTCAAGGTCCAGACCCTCAGTGTGTCTTTTTAACTCCCAGATTTATCCTGGGTCTGTGTGGGGAACAAACCTGGCAGCCCCAATAGAGGACAGCATTTAGGGGCTTGCACACGAGCAGGGACTCTTCTCTTGACCTCAAAGACAGTTTTTTGTTCTCAGTTAATTTTGGTGTTTGGGAAAAGGAAGTCTTTGATCCCATGGGCTTCTTCAGTTCATAGTTCCAATGTGTTACATGAATTCTGCTTTAGTAAGAAAAGCTCTGTCCTCCACGTTTTCCTGCCAGATACTAGTTGTTGTGGATTTTCTGGATGAGGAATGAGCTGGGAGGGGACAGCCTGTAGCACTTTGCCCTCCCAGCAGATCCCCCCAGGTGATCTGGGGTTGGGTGGTCACAGATAAGCAGTCCCAGTGTGTTTGGGTGCTGCAGAGTCACCCCTGGGTGCTGGGCTCAGAGACCTGGGCTGCTTCCTGAGGGTGCTGCTTTTCACTGACCTTCTGTGATGCCATTTTTGTGTATCCAGATAAATTATCCGTAGGCAAAAGGAAACGCAGTGAAGATGAGGAGGTTCCAACAGCAGTGGAAATGGCTGAGAACACAGAAAATCCCCTGCGATGTCCAGTCCGACTTTATGAATTTTACTTATCAAAATGGTGAGTGCCAGACCTTGGTTTTTGCTCTGTGTGTAGATTAGAACAGGCATTTGGGCAAGGAGCCCACCCAGACCTCCTGTGCCTGTGCTGTGGCTCCTCTCTCCAGTTCCTGATCCCTCAGTGTGAGCAGAACCATCCTGACAGGAGTTCCAGCAGCAGCACTGCTGTGAGCCCCAAATAGGTATTTTTTGTTACTGGTGTTGAGTCAAGAGAAGACTTACAGGGAGAGATGTAGCCTTTAAACAAATAAATTTTGGTGTAAATGTGAACTGGGGGCATTGCTACAGTGCCCATGGCATTCTTCCCCTTAATTCCCATTCTCCTTCTTTTGAGGAGATTGTAACTAATACCCCAACATCATCATTCCTGTGAAGGAGGGAGAAAGAAATGTGAATTAAGTAAAACTCTTGATAACTTTTGCCTGTTGAGATGTAAGATTAACTTGTATTTAGGAGTTAGAAAGGAGACTACAGCAAGGACATAGATATAAATCATTTTTCTCCTCTGTTTCTGTATGAACTTCAGTTAGATCCTTGAGCAGGTGGAATATGATGTTCTTCTCTCTTCAGAGAAAATACACGTGCAAAATGAAACAGCATCTCATTAGTGTCAGCTGAAACTCAGATAAATCACCCTCAGAAATGCACTTACTACACATAGTCCCATTCCTGAGGCAAAGGCAGGCCTGCAGCTCTCCAGACTCTTTCTCCCTCTTCTTACCTTCCTTGTCTTCACTAGAAGACTTCCTTGTCATCATTAGAAGCTTTTGGTTGTCCTTGGGCTGGGAAAGCATTTTCATGCCCCTCATCGTATGTCACAGCTGAGCCTCTGCAGTGGTGCAAGCAGCAGTAAAAGTTCCCTGTGCTGTTCTGAATATCCCAAAGCCAGGCAGGAGGGTTCCTGGCTCTGGAGGACTTCAGAACCCCACCAGAGCCTGGGAGCTGCCTCAGAGTTAGTCAGTCTTTCAAGCAGCTGGGCTTATTCTGCACCGTGACCAGGCAAGCTGGGATTTAGTTTTGCTTGCTCTTTGAACAGCATCTTAGAATGATTTAGTTTGGAAAAGCTCCCTGAGGTCATCGAGTCCCGCCATTCCCCCAGCACTGCCAAGCACACCTCTAACCCATGTCCCCATGAATCCCTCCAGGGATGGGGACTCCACCATTGCCCTGGACAGCCTTTGCACGAAGAAATTGTTCCTAATATCCAGACTAAACCTTGAGGCCGTTTCCACTTGTCCACGCTGCGCAGCAATTCTGGAATCCTAGAACCGTTTTCATTCAGAGATTGGATGTCAAATGCATCCACCAATCATCCCATTAATTGGATTGCACTCTGATTGAAGAACCACTGCTGTAAAGAAGTCACTCTGATTTTCTTTGTCTCTTTATGACCAGCTAATGCTGAGAGACTGGCAAACAGCTTAACTGTTCCCTAAGCAGAATGAGGGAGACCATCTAAGAAAAAGATACGGATCACACTGTTTAAATTGTAATTTTGTCCCAATGTAGCTTTGATTTCCTTGCTGATTCTCTTTACATTTTTCATGATGCAGCCCAGTGTTGCTAAAGCTTCCTTTCTTTGCGTTGGCAGCTCTGAGAGCGTGAAGCAGAGGAGTGACGTGTTCTACCTGCAGCCCGAGCGCTCCTGCGTCCCCAACAGCCCCATGTGGTATTCCACATTGCCCATAGACCCAGGAACCTTGGACATCATGTTAACACGGATTCTTATGGTGAGGGAGGTACACGAAGAACTTGCCAAAGTCAAATCAGAGGACTCTGACATTGAGTTATCAGACTAACTGAAGCGGGGTATTTTCCTTTGAATACGCATCAGAAGCACCAAAATGTGAATACGTCCAGCCTTTGGAAAATGTGTATCAAATAGGCCAAGAAAATGTCACCTACGGGCAGATTTTGTACCACAGTGGATGTACAAACTGGAACTGGAAGGAAGCAAGCTGTGTAAGCTGCAAAACCCAACGTCCTGTGGCACCGAGCGGTCCTCGGAACAAATCCAAGTGGAACTCACCTATTGGAGCGGTGCATAAATCCTTTATCTGTTTAGGATTTTTTTAAAAGTCGTGAGATGTTTTTAAGGCAAATGGTTGTGTAAAATCTCCCCTCACGCTGTTGGGCACGGAGAGCGTGGCTCAGGTGACTCCCCAGCCTGCTGGCTGGCAGTCCTTGCTGCCAAAGAACACAAGGATCTTCCCAAGGATCCGAGAGAAAGGGGTGAGGTTTAGACAAGCAGACACCTTCCGTTATAAATACACCTACACACACAATTTTACGATTTTTTTTTTGGAATCTGGGATCAAGTGTTAGGAAGGCAGGAGCCACTGGCCATCCCCATGGACAGCTCTGGCTGCTGGGGGAGGGCACACGAGGCTCTCACTCTGCTCTCTGTGCTGGAGGTCAGGCGGTGGGGGGATGTACAGCAGGTGGTCCTGGGCTCTGTGCAGTCCCTTCCCCAGCCCTGCAGTCTGTCCACAGAGTCCAGCCAGTACTGTGGTGCACAGAAAGGTTTTTACCCTTAAGGCAGCTTTCCTTTCTCCTCTTTCCCTCCCCCTGCTGTTCGGGTTGTTTTGTGAGGCGAATCTGGAGAGGGCTTTGTCGTTTCAAACAGAAATACACACACATTCTTTCTCTTTCCACCTTTGCAACATGGGCAGTGTTGTACAAAGGATGCAGTATTACTTCTGACACCAGAACTGTGGTAGACAATAACCATGTGTGTTTTTTTTTTCCCACCCCACCCAAAGAGATTTAGTCATAGTGTTGGAAACTGAAAGAGATTACTTTAAGGCTTGGCTGTTAACTGAGTCTTTTGGAAGAGAAAAGCTCCCACGTGGTGTTTAAAGGACAGGACATTATCAGATACTCTCTGTAGCTCTGTTATCTCAAGCTCTAGATGTGTGTTTCTGATGAGCAGTGGTCACAAATTCATTGGAAACCCAAACTATTTTTAAAGAAGAGAATTGTATGGTTTTTACCTAGCTCTGGTCAGTTATCCATCTTCTGTAACAGGGGTCTGATATTTGAGCTTGTCACTAAAATTTCAAGAGAAAAAAATCAACAGCCTTGAAATATATTTCCATTTTGTTTTGGTTGGTTGGGTTTTTTTGTTTTTTAATTATTTTTTTAGCAGTTACAAAAGTAATTTAACAAAAATAAAATCAGAAAGTAGTCTGTTGACGTTGTGTACTCGGTAGTCCTGTCCCCTGCCTGTAACAGATTTCACTGATGTATTTTTTAATACAGAAAATTATGTGAAAAGTAAAACCTGCCCCTGATTCTGTCTGATCAAAGCCCACCCGTGTCTGTCATTTCTGAGCAAAGATTCTGCTTTCTCCGTGGCCTGGCCTGCCCAGGGGAGATGTTTCGGCCGTGCCCCGGCACTCAGGGATGCTCCTGTGGGCTCAGTCCTTGTCCATGAGCACTGACCTTGTAGTTACAGTGAACAGTGAAATAGCAGGCACAGAGCTTTGGATTGGGATGGTGGATGGAGCATCCCAGGGACAGCAAAGTCATTCTGTAGGGCGTTAAAGGTCCGAGGGTGTCCCTAGGAGAGGGGGAACCTCCAGGAATTCCTCTTTCCTGGGCATCCCCTCCACGGGTGCAGCTGCTGGGGGCTGCAGCAAACTGCCCCTGGCTGCTCCCTGCTTCCCTGCCCCCCTGGAATGAGCAGGGGAGCGCTGAGGACACAGGCTGTGGGGAGGGCAGGCTTTCCTTGGGTGGTCTGAAAAACAGTCCCACAGCTGAGCATTCCCTTAACAGGCATTAACAGAAATATTCCCACAGAATAACGTAGGACATTTGTACCTCACCAGTAAAAACACTCTTTTCTTCCTCTGAAGACCCTCACTGTTTCTTGCCTGGGAACACTTTCAGTTAGGTTTTTTTCCAGGTACTGTGAATGAAAACTGTTTGCCTTTCAGATTCTCTCAGCAGGGAAACGAAACCGAAGTTGTTTAACATTGTGTAAACTCCTTTTACCTGGTGGCCCTGAGATAAGGAACGTTTCAGTGCAGTTCTGTGGTAATAATTAACACAAGTACTTTCACTTTCACTGCTGCTTGGAGGCCCTTTGGCACTGGTCAACCTTGTTCAGGGTCTGCCTGGGCATTTTTTGCCTCCTGAGGGATTTTTTGTCAGCCCAGCTCGAATTCACACTGGTTCACAAGAAGGGTGATTACCTTGAAGGATTAAAATATGTTTGTAGATCATACAGGCTCAAAGTTCTGATCACAAACTTATTTTAATCAACATTTCTGACTCAGTCGCTGCGTGCCCAACACAGTCCATTGAATTTCTTTAAGGAGAAAAATGCTGTAGTCTCGGTGTGGACAGAGAAGAAGCAAAGATGGGTGTGAGAAGGAAATAACCAAGAACTGGCCCTCAATGTACCAGCAGGTCCCAATGTGGGAGGTGCTCTGACAAACCTGCAGCTCCAGCCTGGCCTTGGTCCCCTAAAGCAGAAAACTGAGGGTGCACTGAGAGCCACAGAACGAGGTGCAAAAGGAAGTTAAATTGTCTTAGGAATTGTTCTGCCAACTGCTGCTCTAAAAGATGCCCTTGGATTTCTCTGGAATAGTCTCCAGCTCCTGAGAGACTTTAAAACATAGCAAAGTCCCCCCTGCCACGTGTGCCGGGTGTGCTCTGCAGCAGGAGCTCCAGCGGGGCCTCTTCCCTGCCAGGTCACAGAGGTGACCCTGGCTCTGCAATAAAACCTTTGGTTTTTTGATAGCAGGAACTCTCCTCAGTCCCCTGAGCAGTAGTTTCACTGTTGCCTTAACAAGCACACCTGAACAAATGCTCGTGTATCAGATGATCCTGGAGCTCGTAACCGCTGGGCGGGGTTGGAGATTGGCTCCCCTGGCACAAACAGGTTCCTCCCCAATTTTCCTTCAATGTATCATCCATTTTAAACATTTCAGAGGCAATATTAAGAGTTTCTGTCTTTGTAACAAAGAGCTGCTCCCTGGCAGAACGAGCCCTGAGCATCATCAGCCTTGTAAGGATTGAATGGTTTGGCGCATGATTGTGTCTGTTACCAAGTTCACTCCAGTCATTTTCTTTAGGTGGATTTTTTAAACTAAGGAAGAAGTTCTTGAGTCTGACCACTGGCACAAGCAGTCCCCCTAACTTCATGCCATGGCACCTGGCTGAGCTGTGAGAACTTGCCCTTTTATCTTCAGTTTTCCCACACACACACTCCCAAGACACTTTCCAGAATGTTTCTATTGTGCTGTGCTTTCTGAGGGAACAATTTTGGACATCCCAGGAAGAGCAAGTGTGGCAGAGCAGCCATTGCAGGGTGCTGGGAAGGTGCTTTGAGCAGGCAGGTAATTGATGGTACGTGGCAAAAAACTAATATAAATGTTGAAGTGTCTGAGATTCATAGTTTTATATTCAAAACATCTCGCCCTGGGGGTCCTTGATGCTCAGCCACTGGCACCGGTACTGGCTCTGCTCCAGGGCATGTTGCACAGTTGTAGAAGGGTTTTTAAAGTCATAAAGGCTCAAAGGAACCCCAGCAGCTTGGATTCTCCTAACCACAGAACTCAAATGTCCCTTGGACATCACATTCCCTAAGCTGATGGATTTTCAGCAGAGGTTCGGCTTTTATTAAAGAAACAAAACCTGAGATACCTGACTGTCACCTGCCAGGAGGGAAAAGGGAATTTAGGGCAATGAAACAGTGAAGTTAGACAGCATCACACCCCAAATCTCAAAATGCATCCCAAGGGCACGATTTTAGTCCTGGCAGATCCATGTGGATGTGAGTGGCACGAGTCACCCTGGCTTGGTTAACTCTTGGTTCTTAGTCAATGAGGGGGCTTGGGCCTGCGAGTCCTGGACTTTTTATCCTCTCTCCTACATATTTGCAACACAAAAAGCCAGAACCAGTTGAAAAGGTCTTTTTGACCTGCTGGGAGCCAGGCAGCTGCTTTGGAGAGAAGGGTGAGGGTGATGGCCCCTGACCTTCCTCCCCGGTTAAGCCACCCAGCCCAGGCTCCAGCATCCACTTCCCTGTGGGATTCACTGCTGTTGGATCAATGATGCCTCACGTCTCGTCCCTTCCAATCTGTACCTGGGTTGTACCCTCTGTGAATTGGCCAGGCTTTCCTACCTCGTTTTGGGCATTATGAGGCAGAATTCCATAGGATGCTTTGCAGCCCCGTGATGAAAGGTGCTATATAACTGCAAAGTGTTACTTCAAAAGATGTAACTAGGTCACCAGTGCATCACAACCTATATTAAAAAGACTTTTTCTTATATGAGAATTCATAGAGTTCAATGTATGGTAATAATAAGTGAATTACTGAGACCCCAAAATAGTTTTTGTTTCAGTTGTATCTGTACTCTGGAAAAGTGATTAAAAACCTTTAACCTCACTAGAAGAGTGCATCCTCCTTTTCTGTATGATGTTGGAATCTAAGTTTAAAAGCAGGATCTCACAGGTTTCAGGTGGGGAGTTGGTTTTAATCCAGTGTTCCAACTGCAGCTGCAGACCCGCACAGGACACTTGGCCATTCCCACCCGGCATTCCAGCAGCTCACGCTCAGTCCTGCTCCTCGGGAGGGGCTGTGAGCACAAACCTCCCCCAGCCCCAGGGCAGGGGAACTGCTGCTACAGGTCAGTCCTGGGGACAAAACGTCACCTGTGCTCTGTCACCCTCAAATGGCACCATCACCCAAGAGCCCCAGTAACACAGAAACACCATCTCTGCTGCAGGAAAAGCACCTTTATTACCTTCAGGGCACTCATTGCTCAGGGGAATCCAAAGCTTTTGAGAGGGTGGGGTCTGTGGGGGCTTCCCAGCACCTGCCACGCTGCCTGGCAACACCTCAGGATCATCATCAGTTGCTGCCTCCTTGGGTTTGTCCCCTGGAGTTACCTTTTCTTGAGTTTGTCATCTGGAGTCTTCTTGCCCTTGCAGGGCAGCGAGGCACCAGCTGCTGCCCCAAGTGACCCCAGGCCAGTCGTCAGCCCAATTTTGGCAGCAAGAGAGAAACCCGCAGCTCCTGCCAAGACAGATGGACCGGTGATGTCCCAGCAGCATCGAGGCTGCCTGCTGAGGGACCGGGCACTGGGAGCCGTTCCAACCCATGGCGGCTCAGAGGGCCGGTTTGGCCCCACAGCAAGCCCAGGGTATAAGCCCGTGTTCCTGAGGGCACGACCCCAGTGCAGCCCAGCTGCCCTGCCCTCCCCACTCACCGATGGACTGCAGCACGGCCACGGTGCTGCCGGCTGCCACTCCGCCGCCGTTGGCGATGGCAGCTGCCGACATCATCTTGGCAGCGATGGATCCAGCGGCGATGCCGCCTGCGGTGAACCCCAGCCCAGCTATGCACGCCGGGATGGCAATCAGTGCCACTCCTGCCGGGAGGACAGCGTGGTGTGAGGGTGCTCTCTGTGACCCACACCTCCCCCTGCCACCAGCACGGCCCCCTCAAAGGACCGAGGGGTCAGGGCGGGGAGCGAGGGCTGTGGGTGCAGGGACACCCCACCCCTGGGAGGAGAGGAACAGTGTGCAGGGCTGCAGCAGTGATTGCAGCCCAGTGCTGCCCCCTCCTCCACAGCAGCACCCCAGTTCTCCCCAGCACTCACAGCCCCAGGTGGGGCTGGGACTGGGTAGGGAACCCCAGCACTGCTCATCCAGTGCCAGACCCTCACCTGCTCCAACTGCAGCTCCAATGGCAGCTCTTTTGGCTCTCGTTTTCCATGCTAAGAAGGAAAATGTCAGGAGGGCAGTAAAGCTCATCCCAGGCAGAGCCCAGTGCCCTGTGCCAGGCAGGGCAGGGGACCAGGAGCAGCGGCTCCCCAAGACCCCCTGTATTCACCTGACCCTGGTCCCTGCACATCCCACCATCCACTGCCACCCTGCCCTGCCTTGCCCTGCCCTGCCCTGCCTGATGCACCCCACAGACCCAGAACACACAGCCCCTGTCAGCCCAGTGTGTCCCCTGTCACCAGCACAAGGGGAATCAAACACAGTTTAGAACAAACTCAGCCACCACCTCACCAGCCCCTCACTGTGCTCCAGCACATCCCCAGGTCTCAAGAGGGCAGCTGAGTCACTGGGCATCTGGGGGGGCTTCCCAGCACCTGCCAGGCTGCCTGGGAGAGACTTTGGGATCAGGCACCTGCCTGGATTTATTTGGGTTTGTTACCTGGACTATTGTTATCTTCAGCTTTGCCACCTGGACTGTTGTTATTCCCAGGTTTTCCACCTGGACTAATCTTCTCGGGTTCTCCATCTGTACTTGGCTCCTCCTCACATTCCTCATCTGGAATCGTCTCCTCCTTGGGTTCCTTATCCAGAATTGGCTTCCTCTTGGACATGTTGTCACCGTTTGCTGCACCAAGTGTCACCAGGGTAGATGTCAGGCCGATTTTGGCAGTAAGAGAGAAACTTGCAGTTCCAGCCCAGTGCTGCCCCTCCCTCACACCAACATTCCAGATCTCCCCGGCCCTGGCACTGTCAGTCCCCAGCCCGGCCGGGTCCCCCATGACCAGACGGTGCTGGGTGTGGGCAGTGAATCCCCTCGCCAGCCCTTCACCTGCTCTGGCTGCAGCTCCAGCGGCGGCTCCGTTGCTTCTGTTCCTCACGGCTCAGGGGGAAAAGGCAGGAGGGAGAAGGTGAACACGAAAAGGAAGAGGACAGGGGAGGTGGAAGAGGGTGGGGAGCAGCCCTGCCCTGCCCGCCGCACCCCGCGGGATCGCGTCGGGACCGCTGCCCGCCCCGGGCGTGTCCCGTCCCACCCCTATCCGGCACATCCCGGGGAGGGGCGGAGGACTGCGCTGGAGAGTCTTAATTTGAGGGGTCAGATACAGCGAGGCGAGCACGGAGGAGAGGTGGGGTCCCAGTGGTGGGTCCCAGCCAGGGTGCTGCTGGGGCGCAGCAAGGGTGTTTGGGAAGACAAACACCAGCACTCCAAACACCCCCTACCACCTCCTTCTACCCCCACCTTTATTTCCTGAGCTTGATGTCATATGGCCTGGAACAGCCCTTTGTTCACTCGTGGTCACTTGATCCAGCTGTGTCTCCTCCCAGTTTCCCATCTCCCTCAAAATCCTCCCCAGCAAGGCAGTATGAGGAGCATAAGAGAGCTGCCCAGCAGCAACAAAACATCTCCGTGTCATCAACCCTGTGTTTAGCACAAACGCCAAACACAGACCCAGACTGGCCACGGGAAAAAAATAACTCTACCCCAGCCCAAACCTGCACAGCGGCCAACAGGGCAGCCCCCACAGTTGTGAGGAATCCTGTTGCCCATGAGGAAAAGGGCTCAGCCTCAGCCCCCAAGCACGGAGGCCCACACTGCCCCCATTGCCTGGGAGAGCACCCCAAGGAGGAGTAGACCCCAGAGCTCACCTCCCAGCTGCTGTTGGGCACCCCCACACCCAGGCCAAGGCAGGCAGTGGGGCCACACTGGGCACCCCTGAGTGGGTGAGACTCTGAGGGTCCCGGTGCCCATGGCCACCCCAGGCCCTGGGCACACTGCTGGCACTGCCCAGGGAGACCACAGGACTGAGGTGACCCCGTGGGCACAAAGCAACCATGGCACAGCCACCAGGCTCCCTGCAGACACCCATCCGTGGGCCTGGGCCACACAAATCCATCCAGCAGGGAACCCCAGCACTGCTCATCCAGTGCCAGACCCTCACCTGCTCCAACTGCAGCTCCAACAGCTTTGGCAGCGGCTCCTTCCCATGCTAAGAAGGAAAATGGCAGGAGGGCAGTAAAGCTCATCCCAGGCAGAGCCCAGTGCCCTGTGCCAGGCAGGGCAGGGGACCAGGAGCAGCAGCTCCCCAAGACCCCCTGTATTCACCTGACCCTGGTCCCTGCACATCCCACCATCCACTGCCACCCTGCCCTGCCTTGCCCTGCCCTGCCTTGCCCTGCCCTGCCCTGCCTGATGCACCCCCCAGACCCAGAACACACAGCCCCTGTCAGCCCAGTGTGCCCCCTGTCACCAGCACAAGGGCAATCAAACAGAGTTTAGAACAAACTCAGCCACCACCTCGCCAGCCCCTCGCTGTGCTCCAGCACATCCCCAGGTCTCAAGAGAGCAGCTGAGTCACTGGGCATCTGGGGGGGCTTCCCAGCACCTGCCAGGCTGCCTGGGAGAGACCTTGGGATCAGGCACCTGCCTGGATTTATTTGGGTTTGTTACCTGGACTATTGTTATCAGCTTTCCCCTGGCCCCACAGACCCCTGGGAACCGATCACTGATGGCACCGACCCCGCTGTCCCCCCACCCGGGAGGGGAGAAGGGACACACTCATGGTCCCCGTGTCCCCCACGCTGTCCCTCGTTTGCCCCCGACCCCACGAGCCACCCAACTCACCCATGGTGGGCTGGCCTGGAGCGAGAGCTGTGCCTGGTGCGCTCTGAGCAGGGTCCTTTGGGGAGCAAGAGCAGGAGTTTCTTGGTGGGCCTCGATCGGGGCCGGCGGGGCTTTGCTGTCCTGCATGAATGACCCCAGACACCCCCTTCCCACCCAGGAGCCCCCAACCACCCCACAAAAGCAGAGACCCCCAGACCCAGCATTTCTTCCCAGCCCAAGCATCTCTGGCTGCTCTGCCAGTCCAGCGAGTTGAGCAGCCCCTCTTTTTCGAACCCCCCACCCCCCCCATAAGGAGTGCTGTCCCCAAACACCCACCGACAGACCCCGACCACCCACCTGTCCAGCGTCTGCTGTGCCCTGAGGGGTAGAGTGCTGTTGGAAAGGTCCCACCAGGGGCTGTCGGTACAGCCGATTTACGGGGAAACCGCTCCCTGCCTGCCCTTTGCTCTCCGTATCGGTGTTAACTCTTGATGTTGCTGGCTGTGCTGGAGCGGGGCTGGGGCTCCCCTGTCCCAGGGGATTGGATCCTGGGGCTTCCCCCGGGGGGAACCCTCTCCCCTCTATCCCCTCTCGGTGACGGGCCGTGCGGGGGCTGCGGCGGGGAGGCCGGGCCGGGGGTCTCCTCACCCCCGCGCCTTGGCACCTGCGGCTTCACGGGGCGCTTCCCGAGCAGGTGAAGCTGCGTGGTTTTGATGAGGACCCCGGGCAGTCTGAGCAGCGCTGGGACTTCCATCAGCTGGCAACGGAGCTGCAGCCCCTCCGCCTGCCTCCGCTCCACCGGGGTTCTACACAGCCTCAAAAAGCAGCCAAAGCCCCATTTTGCAACCCCCCTCCTCTCTCCCGCTCCCTGCACCCACTCCTGACCCCGAGCCCCCTCAGGGCAGGGCAGCGCAGCCCCCGGGCCGGGGCAGTGAAGGGCAGCGGGTGCCGTGGCTCATGCGCCGCTGCAGCTGGTTGAAGGGGACCAAATCCAGTTGCAAGTTGATCTGGTTCCTTTTTACCAGCCCCAGGGACGCACCGTCTCTCCAGAGGCGCCGCCGGGAGGGTGCTGGTGATGGGGGGGTCCAGGTGCGGGGGTCCCAGCCCAAAAATACATACTTCTTAACATTCCATAACGCCGGCCGACTCCATATGGGCATATGAAGAAGTATGTAGGGTTGGGAGGGAGAGGAGGGCACTGTGGGGCTGGGGCTGCCCACTGCTCCCAGCCGTGCCCACCAGCTCCACTGAGCTCCTGGAAGGAGCAGGAAGGATTCTGGAAGCAGCTCCTGCCCGCTCCCAGACCCGGCCTCGGTCCCTGCCCGGTGCAGCCCAGGTAGAGGCAGGGCCCCTCCAGCCCTGCTGTGCCCTCAGCCACCCTCAGGCCTGGGGCACAGAGATCCACGCTCAGAGAGCGAGGCAGTGCCACGGTCAGCGTGTGTGCCTCGGACCCAGAGCCCCTTGCTGGCCAGAGGATGCTCGGGATGCTGCTCTGGGGGGCAGCTGCCCTTTGAGGGTGGTGAGATGCTCCAGGATGATGCAGAGTTTGTGGCAGTGGGAGCACCAGGGGAGCTGCACCCCCGAGGAGATGTGGGCACAGCCAAGGGCCAGCATACGTGACAAAGCTGGGCACCTGTGCCTGGAGCTAATTCCACTGCAGGGGTCCCCCATCAGCCCTGGCTCTTGGCTTCACAGGGATCCCCCCTGCTGCTGCTGCTGCTGCTGCTGAGCTGGGTCAGGAGCCACCAGCTCACCTTCCCCATCGCCCCACACCACCCCAGCACCCCCAGGGCCTCCTGCACCCCACATCCCCCTGTCCATGTGCCAAAGCAGTGGCTGCAGCTCAGTGCAGCTGGGGCCAGTGTCGGGGGAGACCCATCTCCCACAAACCCACCCCCTGCCCACCTCGTTTGCAGGCCCAGGAGAGGAGCTGGGGGTCCGGGCCCTCCCCACCCCTCAACTCTAGGCCGGGGAGGCTGGAGATGCCTTTGCCCACAGAAGTGGGGGGTCCAGCTGAGAGGTCAGGGGCTTGAGACCATAATGGGGCTGCAGGGGGGCTCCCTGGCCCCAGCACAGCGTGGCCAGGGCAGGGCGACAGAGGGACAAGTGTCACCATCACCCAGACGCACCTTGACCCCAGTGACCTTCCTTCTGATAAATTTGCAGCTGGAGAAGGGCACGGGCAGGTACAGGGAGTGTCCTGGTGTTCCCAGGGCTGCCCCCTCCCAGGACAGGGGAGTAAGAGGTGCATGAGGGGCCCAGCCCCGAGCAGGAGGGCTGTGGGGCTGGCCGAGCGCGGTGCGGCCGTGACTCAGCGCCGGGAGCTGTGGCCACACGCGCCGCAGCTCCTGCAAGGAGCCGGTGGGTGCCAAGTTCAGCCTCGCCTCACCAGCCCCACTCGCAGCACCCACAGGCAGCAGAGATGCTGCTCAGTCACCCTCTGAGCCACCAGCTATTGCCACAGGGCACAGGGTGGCTGCCAGCACAGCCCTTGGTCCCCCCAGGATGCTCTGCCAGCACCCCAGGACCTTCTGCATGGCCGATCCCCGGGGATCCGGCCCTGGGGATCCCAGACACTGCTCCCAAGACTCAAGATGAGTCCCCAGCCCAGCAGCCAGTGGTGGAGCTGAGGGTGTCTTGCTAGACCAGCATCTCTGTCCCCCCACAAAAGCAAACTGAGTGGGTGTCCTGAGGCCAGAAGCTGCAGAGATGCACTCCCTTAACCCTTGGAGCTCCGCTGGCCCTGCAGTGCAGTGGGATGCTGCCATGAGGTTTTCCTGGGGTGGTACCAGGTTCCAGGGACTGGCTGGGCTGTTGGGGTGCACTGGGAGGCAAAATCCAGTGGCTTCACCCAGCCCAAATTCCAAGAGCCAGGGCACAGGGTCAGGGCTCCCACATCCCAGCCCAGTTCAGCTCCAGTCACCTCGGCTGACCTTGGCAGCCTCCCAGCACTTGGTACCAGAGGTACCCCAGCCTGGGGGGCCCACACAGCCCCATCCCATGCCACGGTTCCCGCAGCCCTCGGCCGGGTTCCCCCAGTGACCTTGGAGGGCTGCACCCAGCTCTGCTGGTGCTCTCTGCATCCAGAGCTCCCCATCTCCCCCAGCCCCACCACCCCTCCTTGCCCCTGCCCTGTCCCACAGCCCGGCTCTTCTCCACTGCCCTCTCTGTGGCCAGACATTCCCAGTCATCACCACCAGTCCCTCTGCAGCCCTGAGGGTGCCCCATCACTGCAGGCAGCCCCGAGTCCTCCTCAGCCCCAGCGCTGCCCTTGGTGGCTGCAGACACGTCCCCAAGCCAAAACCCACCAGAAAGCAGCCCCTCTCCCACATCTTCTCTGGGCCCTCACAGCAGTCCCCGACCTGGGCAGCCCCCGTGTTCTCCACCTGCCCCGAGAGCAGCTCCTGT